TTTTTTGATTTATTCTTTCTTCCATTACTTGCATTTTTTGTTTGCTTTTTCTTCCATTTCTTGAATTTTTTGGTTTGCTTTTTCTTCCATTTCTTCTATTTTTTGCTTTGCTTTGTCGTCCATTTCCTGCCTTTTTGGTTTGTTTTTTCTTTCATTTCTTGATTTTTTTTCTTTTTTTGTCCATTCCTTTGAGGGATTTCCCTATATCCTCTTTTAGTCCCTCTATCAGTCTCATGAAGTTGTTTTTAAGGTCATTCTCTTCTGCTTCATTTGCATTGGAATGTTGGAGTCTTGCTGGTGTGGAGTCTCTAGAATCTGGCAGTGTTATATTTGTTTTTATGTTGCTGAGTGTGTTTTTTGTGTTGTCTCTTTTCCATCTTACTTCTAGTGGTGCAAAAAGAGCCCCTTACTGGTCTGGTGGTTAGGGGACCAGAGTTCCCTTTCAGTGGGTCCTAGCTAGTACAATACTCTGGTAGTTTTTCTCTGCCTAGTCCTAGTTCTGTTCCCATGGGTGGAGAAGAAGACCTGGAACCTAGAGTGCTTAGCCTCCAGCTGGTACCCTGGTCTCCTTGGTGGCAGAGAATACCTGGGATCTAGGGTGTTTGCCTTCCCCTAGTCACTTATTTTGCTATTTTTTCAGCAATACAAAGTAGCAAATATACCAATTATGTTGCTTGTAGTGATCATAAGATCATAAGTTGCTGATTCTATCAATCAATTTATCTATCAGTAATCTCTCTCTCTCTCTCTCTATCTATCTATCTAATCTTCTTGTCTATCTATATATCTATGGCATCAAAGAATTTCCTGTTTCAAACTTCAATTTTTTATTTTTGTCTACAAAATAAAATTTGTTAAACTAAAATCAACCATGAAAAATATCAATTTAGACTTAATAAACCTTAAGTTTATAAAATGACATCACAAAACCAGACTGTAAGCATATTTTATTCATTAGTGATTATTGGAGAAGTGCCTAGCCCATTTTGGTTGGAGACACTACTGGCTGGTGGTCCTGACTTTTGTTTGATAGGAGGCTGAGAAATTTATAAATAACAAGCCAGTAAGCTGAACTGTACCATGGTCTCTGTATCAGCTTCTGCCTCCAGCTTCCAGACTTGTGTGAGTTCATGCTATGTATCTCATCTGTAGACTGTGAACCAGGATATTTAAGTGAAATAAACGCTTTCTTCCCTAAGCTTATTTTCATCGTGGTGTTTTAGGACTGCAGTAGAATACAAACTAATGCAGACATTTGTACTAGAATTGATACGTAGCATTGATAGCCTTCAACATTTATTTTTGGAAGGATTGCAGAAAATCTTTGAATCTTGGGGAATGTTATGGGCTCAGTGACCTATTCTGTAGAATGTTAGAAGATAACAGTAACTGAGAGCAATTAAAACAATGTGAGGCCTGGTCTATGAGGTTTTAGAGGGAAGCAAAGAATCTATCAGGCCATTTGTGTGATAACTTTTGTGTTAAGAATTTAAGGTGTGTGGTCATCTGTAGCTGGAATCACCTGTAATTAAAAAGTGACTAACAGCACTGAAGTGAAACTGTTGCTTTCATGGTATAATTGAAGCTGGTCATCTGGAGATGAGAAATTAGCAGTGATTACAAAGATAAAAGCATCATTACGAGAAAATTTTCTGGAAACTGTTTAAAAGAGATCTCAGAATAAAGGTTTGAAACAAGATTTTTCCCAGTAAATTGACCTAAAAAGCAAACTGTAGTGGCTGTTTTATATCTAGCAAAATAGACTTTCAACCAAAACTAGTGACAAGAGATTTAGAAGGACGTATCATCATCAAAGTAAAAACCAACATGATATTGCAATCCTTGTCATCTATGCCTTAAATACAAGGGCACCCACACTATGAAAGGAACATTTCTAAAGCTTAAATCACACACCAAACCTCACACATTAATTGTGGAAGACATTAATATCCAATTCCCACCAATGGAGGTCATGCAGACCAAAAATAAGCAGAGAAATAAAAGAGCTAAGAGATTTCATGACTCAAATGGATGTAATAGATACCTACAGGCCATTTCATCCAAAAGAATACAACATCTCATGGAACATTATCCAAAAAAGTCTCCACAGATATCCTGGTCATCAGAAGTCACACAATACCTGTAAGTGTTACGGCTACAGAGGTAAAGCTATCATGGCCATTTGCAGCTAGGTAATACCTGTAAGTGTTCAAGCTCTGAAGCAAAAGATATCCTGGCCCTCTGAAGTCATGAAATACCTACAATTCCATTCCAGTGGGTTATCATTTCCCCACAGAAGTAGGTAACAGGTCTCATGTTCTAGTGAAAGTCTGTACCCTGCACACTGTGCCCTGCACCGTGGTGTGTTTCTTTAATTGGCCCCTTTTAATCTATGGCTCTGGTTTCATGGTCAGTAAATTAGCTCAGGTCTCAGCATCAGGGTGTGTTTCTTTGGTTCTGGTTTCACAGAGTGTGTTTCTTTGGTGGGTCTTTTACTGTATAATAATCAAGTAGGTTCATTCCAGAGATGAAGGGATGGTTCAAAGACCACAAATTGTCAGTGCAATCTACCATATAAACAAACTGAAAGAAACAAAAAATACCACACATGATCATCCAATTAGATGCTAAAAGAGTAACTGAAAAAATACAGCACTGCTTCATGATAAAAGACTTATATCAGGAATAAAAGTAACATGTTAACAATAAAAAATATACACAGCAAGCTGTCAGTCAACATCGTATTAAATAGAAAGACCTCTAAGTAAGTCCACTGAAATAAAAGTCAAGGCAAGGCTGTCTACTCTCTTCATATATATTCAACATAGTACTTGAAGTTTTAGCTAGAACAATATGAAAAATGAAGTAGGTCAAGTTGATAAATCCTGAAGAGGAAGAAGTCAAAATATTGATATTTGCATGTGATATGAGAGTATACATAAGCAAACCTCCAAATTCGGTCAGGGTATACCTATAGCTGGTAAACATTTTTAGGGAAATTGCTTGATACAATATAAATTCATAATAATCAGTAGCTCTCCTATATAAAAATGATAAATGAGCAAAGAATGAAAGTATGGAAACTTCTTTTTACTCGCTACAAATAATATAAAATATATTGGTGTGATTCTAACCAAGCAAGTGAAAGACCTCATGGCAATAACTTCAAGTCTTTGAAGAAAGAAATTGAAGAAGATATCAGAAGACAGATTTCCTATGCTCAAGGATTGATGAGTTAACAGTAAAAATGGTCATCTTACCAAAAGCAATCTATAGACTCAAAGGAATCCTCTTTGAAATTGCAGCACAATTCTTCACAGAACTTTAAAGAATAATGCTCAACTCCATATTAAAAAACAAAAAAACCCAGGATAGCTAAAACAATTCTGCATAACTAAAAAGCTAATTTCAAGCTTTATTACAAAGAAATAGTATTAAAAACAACCTGTCATTGGTATAAAATAGACAGATTGATCAATGCAACCAAATGGAAGGCCAAGATTTCCCTATTTGCACATGATTTGGATAAAGAAACCAGAGAGAAATACACAGTGGAAAAAAGAAAGCATCTTCAACAAATGGTGCTAGTCTAACTGGATGCCTGTATGTAGAAAAATGCAAATAGATGCCTATTTATCACCTTGAACAAAACTTAAGTCCAAGTGGATGAAAGACCTCTACAGAAATCTCCATACACTGAACCTGATAGAAGAGAATGTAGGGAATATCCTTGAGTGCACTGGCACAGAAGATAATTTCCTGAGCAGAACATCTGTTGTGCAGACATTAAGACAAACAATTAATAAATGGGACCTCATGAAACTGAATAGCTTCTGTAATGCAAAAGACACTGCCAATAGTACAAAACAACTGCCTAAAGAATGGGAAAAGATTTCACCAACCCACATCTGACAGAGATGTGATTTAGAAAATATATCAAGAACTCAAGAAATTCGACATCAACAAAAAAATAGTGCAATTTAAAATATAACGCACAGATCTAAACACAGAATTCTTAACAGAATATTACAAAGGTTCAGAAACACTTAAAGAAATGTTCATAATCCTTAGCCTTAGCCATCAGTGCAATTTAAATTAAAACAACTCTGAGATTCCAACTTATAACTGTCACAAGGCGTAAGATAAAAAACAAACACATAAACAAAAGCACACTAGGGACGTCTCATGTGGGAGAACAGCAGTGATGAATAAGAGATGGCCTGGGCCTAGGGGACAAGTAGTGCATGCTTCAACATGTCCTTGGAAGTAGCTCAGATGATTTTGAGTGAATCCTGAATGACTTACACTGAGATGTACACTCTTGTTACTTGGTTTTGCTTTGATGTGATTGTGAAATAAAGTATTTAACTTATTTTAATTTTAGGAGAGCCACAGTTGAGAGACTGTGGACTTTTAAAGATGTTTTGAAATTTTGCAGAAACATTAGATTTTTTTAAGAGCATGAACTTTTAGAGTATTCAAATTTATAAAGAAAGTCTATGGGACTTTAAAAGATTATAATATATTGTATACTATAATATTAATATCAAGTTTTGGGGACAACAAGAAAAGAAAAAGTATGTCTATGGGATGGTGTTTGTCAAATTGACAAGGCATGAGTTTTTCTAGCTAGAGTTTGTCAACCTGAAACAAGCTAGAGACATCTCAGAGGAGAGAACCTCAATTGAGACAATGATTCCATATAAAGTGTTTGCAGGCAAGCAAGCCTGAAAGGTATTTTCTTAATTGTTGATTAATGGAGGTGGGTCCAGCCAATGTTTTTTGAATAAGAAATATCTGTTTGAAGAGCAAGCCAGTAAGGAACATTCCTCTGTGGTCTTTGAATCAGATCACAATTCTAGGTTCTTGTCTTGAGTTCCTGCCTTGGCTTCTCTAGGTGGATATAAACCCTTTCTGCTAATGCTGCTTTTGGTCAGGGTGTTTTTCAAAGCAATAGAAACCCAAATTAAGACAGCAAGTGACAATTGTTTATTCATCATTTTAACCATTTATTTATCTGAGGACAAGTACTCAGAATAGAATTTATGTGTCAACAGTATTTATTATTTGTCTGCGACAAGTAGGACAGGTAGAGTTTTCAGATAGCCATGGATGAATACATTCATCATGATATTCATGAAAGCAAGGTAGCATTAGAATCTTACTACTTTCTGTGTATTCTGTAAGACAAATATTGCAGGCACATAATTTATCATTTTCACTAAAAGCTCTTACTGGGAATGTTCCAATCTGTTCTTTGGTAAGTCCTTCAGTATGGTTATTAGGAATGTCATCATAGTTGATAAAATCAGGCAAAGTTTCCCAAGAATCACTATCTTCAGATCCTTCTTCGTTAGCAAATTGTGTTTCTTGTCTGGTCCCAAAGAGTGAGTTAGAGGATAAAACTGGTTCATTACTGCATTCATTACTTTGGAATGCAGCTGGTAAATTTGTATTGCTGAAAATGCTGCTTTCTTCTATCATGCGTGTAGGCAAAAACTGTTGACTTGGTCTTGACAAGGAAACCAATGGGCAAGTTGTACTAGAATTACTGTCACCAGAATGAACTCTTCTACTATTTTCACTTGAAAATGAGTCACAAGCTTCTAAATTATTATCAATGCAATTACCACGTTCTCCTTCAAAAATTTCTGTCATGATTTGCCCTGATGTTCCATAGGGAGCTGTAGTTACTGTAGAATCTAAACCAGTATTTGAAGTTTGAGCAACAGAAAATATTTTGGAATTCTGCATATCTGTCTGACCAGAATGTGAAGAAATATTTGTGTGTTCTTTTTCAGTTGATGTTACAGATGTAGACTGACCACCATGAGCAGTGTTCTCTATTTGTTCTCTTGTTGAAGATGACAAAGAACTTTTTGGTGTCCTAATTATTTCAAACTCACTGCACAATGGAAAACGTGACTGAAGTTGACACAACAGACAAGGCTCATCAAATTCAAGATCGGAAGAAGATTCATCTGATTCACTATAATGAGCTCCCAATAAAGCTGCAAGCTGAGTAGGTTGAGGTAGCCTACTTTTAGTCATGTCTCCAACTATCACAGCATCTGGACTCTCACTTTTGGTACATTCTCTATCTCGATTCAATATGCTGTCCATTAAAATTTCAGTTATACCTTCTCCTGGTGTTAAAGTAGACTTAGGTTGTTGATGGTCTCTTTGCTTCTGGCTGTTTCTACTCGTGTCGTGACATCCAAGTCCTGGAAGTAATGCATGGTCATTTTGTGGATTTAAGTTCTTATTATTAAAAGTAGATCTCATCCTTCCACTGATATTGTTTGTGTTACTCTTATATTCTGTTTTCCAAAACCCACACTCCACTATCTCCCTTTGTGTCCTTTTTTCAGATGGTTGAAAGAAGGTATATTGACCTCTTTCAGATTCACCACTAAGAAAAACATCTGAAGTCTTTGCTCCACCTGTAAATACAAAGTGAAAGTTAGTCAGAAAGGAGTTGTCAAAATTAGAACAAATGCTGTTTTGACACTGTTCCAAAAAGAAAAGAAGCACCCAAAGATTCGCATATTTAAATCTGAATTTAATTCATATTTCAAAGAGAATCAGTACTTTTGTAAAGTATAAAAATCTGAACTTACAAGTAAAGGTAAGAGAATGCCAAACTACTGTTGAAATAGCTTATTCTAGATGAATTTATGTAAATTTAAAGTGAGTCAGAGGGCACTGCTGTTCAATGTTTCAGAATCATATATATCACCATGGAGAGGAATCTAATAAAGATACGAATACAACCAAACTAATAATAGTTATAAAAATTCAAAAAAAGATTTAAAACAATTTTTCTTATGTTATGCACATGTGCATATGCCTGTTTGAGCATATACCATATGTTTGCAGATGCCTCATGTAGTTACCAGTAATCAGATCTCCTGGATCTAGATTCACAGGCAGTTGTGAGATAACCAAAATTTTGGAAAAAATTGAACACAGTTCCTTTGGAAGAATACAAGTTGAAATTTACTGCTGAGCCATCTTCACAGTCTCAAAGAAAAGTTCTACTCAAGATACAACACTAATATTGACGTTAAGATTTATTCATATTTTATTACTTATTATTGTGTAACTTCATTTCTAGGCTCATGGATTGCATGCTTTCATTGGAAATGTAAGAAGCCATCTTAAGAAAATAAAACATTATAGTTTGTATTTTTTACATAGTAATATTAATTTGCACCCAGAGAGAAAAACACCAGTTCTTAGTATCAAGTATGTTTTTTAAGTGAAGCACCAACCGTAGTGACGGTCGTCTGCATGAATTGGGAGACATTCTTTTTTGAAAAGATGATTGGCACCATTCTTGGCCTTGTCATACTGTGTAGAATTAACATAAACACATATATTACCTGTATACTACTCATTATCACAACCAAAACTGCTTTGCAGATACTAGCAGATGACTATGGTGTGGAGAACAGAATTATGCAAAACTTAATTTGTTGATGTAGATTTTCTTTTTTATCACTTCTCAAAAGAAGAAAGACAATGGACCAACAAACATATGAAAAATGGTGAATATCATTTGCCATTAGGTACTTAAGTGCATATCAAAATTATAATTAGATGGATGCTCTCTTACTACCGTGCAATATTTTACAACCACTGTTGCTATTATTAATTAAAAGAGCATACATTTTATAATTTATAATGGAGAAGAAACAAAATAATAGAGCCTCACTCTAACACAACCTTTATTGTTTATGGTGTTTTGATAACATTCTTGTTGGAAAAGTCTAAAAAAAGCTCTATAGTTTGCACCTCAGATCTTGTATGTTGAGAAAATGTGCTACTAATTTCTAGAAACTATCACAGCCTCATTTACTGTAAGATACTCAAAACACTCAGACAATGTGTTATACAGAAATTTCCAATGTACTGAATTCAGAGAATTCAATGGTTACTGACATCTATTCCAATCGTTGACTTGTGGAAGTCTGGGGTTCCTCCTCGTTCTTTTCTGAGGTCTATTATATACCCTCACTATTTCAGGTTCATCTTCTTTTGATTCACCTGCTTGTGCCAAAATTGATTCAGACTGTGGATATTCCCTTTGCCTCTGGTTATATTCCATAAGTTCTCCTGCAAAATTTGCAAACAATAGTGTTTCATGCAGTTGAGTTTGTATCATACAGGTTAACACTTAACTTGCTACATATACTGGGAGGGTTTGAATTTCTGTGAAGTTTGGATTGGTGTGCTTTTAGTTCACTTTAAGATGTATTTTAATAATATAAGGAAAGAGATTAGCCGGACTCTTAAAAAATACCATTAGGCACATACTACAAATGATTGCCCATTCCTGTGACTAACAAATAGGACAAGACTAGTAAGGAACTCCAAAATGGAGAGCCAGCATATAACAGTGCTTTGAAGTATTGCTTCAAACATAGTGATAAAAAGGGACAAAGCAGATGGTAGAACACACCCAGTCAAGAACTGGTACAGTTTCCAGTGAACAAGTGCTGAATAATGAGTGAGTAGCTATCCAGTAATGCCAGTGATTGCTGAAAAACATGGCTGTTAGTTGCCAAGAAGAAAAATGAACAGTTCATTCCTACACACTCATTTCCTTTTGGGGCTACTTTTAATGTGAAGTCAGTACAACTAAGAGGTTAGGAGATTGAGCTCAAGATGAGTAGTGAGTCTCAAAAATGTGTACAGTATACTTAAGTGCGAGGAAAATTGCAGATGAAAGGTAGAGTAGAGTCCCTGTGGTATATGTACTAGCATAGAGATTGGGGAAGAACAAAATTAAAAAATAACAGAAATAATACAGACTTTAAAAACACATTTAACCCTGCATACATAACAATAGAGATTGGTAGTGCAATGAAATAGCAAATTTGTCACTCTAAATACTTGCCCAGAAAATCTTTGTTTTTAGTATTTTATAGGAATAGATTCAAGAAGCCATTTTCAATATGGTTGCTTATACAAGATGCATAATAACTTCAACAGTACACATGGCAATGGGATAGAGTAAGCCTTTAAGGTTCCATCCCTAGAATGAAGAGCTAGAGACAGTGAATGGATGTTGAGAGTGTGGATAGTTAGGTTCTTACAGGCATGGGAACCCCCTCATAGGTCATCCAATCCACAATCCAAAGTAGCCAGCCATATACACTTGAACATATGAGCAAAAAATATATATTTTTTCACATTTTTATTTTTTATTATTTTATGTAAATTAGAAACAAGATTGTTTTATATGTCAATCACATTTCCCTCTCTATCCCCCCTCCCCTGGCCCCCACTAACTCCCTATTCCATCCTCTTTCTGTTCCCCAGGGAGGGTGAGGCTTTCCATTGTGGATCTTCAAAGTCTGTCATAAAATTAATTTATATAATATACTGCAGAAATCATTGTCCTTTTCCACTTTCATTATGGAGGAGAAAGAAAATGAAAGTGAAGTGGATTACAACAATTGACAAGCATATCAGAATGTAAGTATACAAAGAATATAAAATATAAAGATGTATTTTATAAGATGAAATGAATCCTTTCTCCCCAATTCACTTTTGGTCATGGTGTTGCAGAGGAGCAATAACCTAATGAAGACAGGCAGCCATCAGAATTTTTTTCACTTTTAATGACTAATTAAGCCTTAAGAAAGAAAAGAGATACACTTTGAATGCTAAATCTCATTAGCAATTGAACAAATAGTAGTACCGATGAAATGCTCACAGAAGACATATTTGTGGTAATTTTCCATATGTTTGTTAAATTTTGATGATTGTGAGTTGACATAAAATGCCTGTAATACCAATTCAACACATTGGACCTAACATAGTATTTAACAGGGTATGTTCAAGAATCTAAAGAATTCTTGTATTTTCGGTTGGATTCATACAATACCACTTTCATGATGAAAATTGTTTTAATCACCCTTGGCAAGACAGTAATAATCCAATATCTTACACTTTGAGAGAAATGTAGCTTCTATGGTTGGAACCATTTCAGAATAAGCAATACTGAATTTATGCCAAAATAATTCCACTGGGGATGTTTCCTTAGCATTTGTGAAACTAGGTTATATAACATGTTTTTACATTGTTTAAGATGTACATCTGACTCTTAAAAAGTGAACATATATGCAAAAATTATGACTATTATTAAACAGCATAGAGTATTATCAAAATTATATGGATATATATAAAATTCCATTGAAAATGGCTGTCAAAAGTTAATGAACACTCTTTCTTGTAACACATTCTACACAACAGTCATTCTTTGTTGGAGAAATTTAAAAAAAATAACATTTTACTCTGTGAATTCAGTGCTGACTTGCATCAGGTCCAAAGAAAACATTAATTCCACAAACTCTAAAAGGTAGTCAAAATATCTGGAAATGAACCCAACCTGAACTATAGTGGGATTTCTGGCCGGTTGATAAAAGCCAGCATACCTAAAGAATTTGTGAACACAGTTCCCTGGCTACCAAAAGCAGTAGTTTCCATTACCTCTAGCAGAAGGTTCGTATCACTCTTAATTCAGTATATCAAGGTGTGAGTTAGTCCCCACATTAGTATTCTGGCCATTCACTCCCCAGCAAATGATCCTAATTGTAATCTGGCTATTCTCACTCTTCTGCTCTCCTGTTCCTGCTATTCTCACTTTGCTTTCTCTATTTTCTATCATTTACTATTCCTCCATCTCTCACAGAGAGCCGTGCCTGTGTCCAGTATGCTGGCAATGTTTTCCACGTTTCTAAAGTCTCTGATTGCTCTGTCTCTAATATAAATAAAACCTTTCCATACAATGGAGCAATCATGTTTTCAGTTTATACAACTTACTTTCCATCCATCGTCTTTCTCTCCAATTATCTAGACTTCTCTGTCTTCTTCTTGTCTGAATTCTGGTGGATGTAACTTCCATCAGTGTGTCAGTTGCATTTCCTTCTGATATATTTGACCTTCTAAACATAGACTTAGATCCAGAATTTTCCACTTGCCTCTGGTTCTTCTTCATATTTTGTTCTCCAAGAAGTCTTGCAAAAAATAAATGGTCATGTGTTAGAGCTGGGTTCTCATAATTATCATTAACACTCTCTCTTTCCATGAAATTATAACCTTGTGACTTATTCAGAGATGTTTCTTCCCAAGAACAGAGTTCTCTTTGTTCTTCTTCTGCCATAACTTCATGTTGAATGAAAGGAGTCGGCTGGTAACTATCAATATCATAAGGAAACATATCATGCAAATGATCTTCTTTACCTGATACAACAAAATGGGAAGAAGTAAGAAGTGATTACAAATGAGACCCATCACAGCAGTATTTATTCCTGGCATACAGAAGGACTCTGGGAACCCATTCCACGTGGAAGGATGCTCTCTTAGCCTGGACACATGGAGAAGAACCTGGGCCCTTCCGAGGATGATGTGACAGACTCTGAAATTCCCTCATGGAGGCTCTTGCCCTCCCTGGGGAGCAGAGGGGGGATGGAGTGGGGGTGAGGAGTTGGGAGGATTGGGGGATGGGGGAGGAGGGGAGGAAGAGGGAACTGAAATTTACATGCGTAAAAAGTTAAATAAAAGTATATATATATGATAAAATTAAAAAATAAAACCCATCATAAAACATTTCTCAAAATCTTTGTTTTATGAACTAGGTCTTCTGTATGTGTTTTATGCCTGTTAGCTTGGTAATTTTGTGAGAATCCTAACAGTGGGAACAAGTTCATCGCTGACTTTTTTGCCTATGCATGTGCCTCTTTCACTCCTACTGGATTCCTTGTCAAGCTTCAATAGGAGGGCTTTTGAATTGTTTTATTGTGTTTTCTTTTGTTGTGCTTGGTTGTTGTCTCTTGGAGGAATGCTCCTTTCTTAATGAGCAAAGTGGATCTGGAGGAGAGGGGAGGAGGGATGGATCTAGGTAGAATCAAGGGAGGTGAAATTGGCTCTGATGTATTGATGAGAGAAGAATCCATTTCCAGTAAAAATAAAGCACATGAAGAGGAGCCTGAAGAGTTAGATATTTCATGAACATTTAATATTTTCAAAATCAGTACAGTTGGCAATGGCACAATCTAGATTTAAAAGTAAGAAAAAGATAATTCAGATTCTTGTTGGAAAGCTTAACATTTTCTTAGATAAATTTAGGAACATCTTAGAGAAAAGCAGAAAACGTCTTTTTAAATAACCTCCTTAGGAATTATCATTAGTCAGTTTCTTTTAGTCCTTGGTAAAGATACTGAAATGATCAAACAAATATATAGCAGTAGATCCAATAATAGTATTTTCGTTCAAATATCAATTTTATCTGATGTTCATTAACTTATGATTTATTTCTAGGGTCTTGAGTGATATACCTTTGAGAATGCACGGGATTGTTTGAAGTATAAGTCTACTGAAACTTGTAAATAAAAAAATGGGTTTAAAATAACATAAATAACTCATATAGTTGCCAGGAATTTGAGTTGGCCTGAAATGTAGAACCAGATAAAATTAGCACGGTAATCCATTGTACTGCATATAATATCCCAATAAAAAACTAAAGTATTACAGGAGAATAGTGTAGGTGAGTGCACAGTGAGGAAACCAATGAAGTGATCACTGGGGAGAAGGCAGATGAAGGAGAGAACAATCAAAGTTATTGGGAATGCCAACTGGTGAACTCCAGGCCTGTCTCTTTGTAGCAGAGAAAATAGCAAAAATGGTGGGACAGTCCTGGAAGTTATAAGTTATTGCGGAGGAAGGAGGGCTGCCTACCTGTAACAGCCTGGGAACTAACATAGTGGAAGAGTAATGGGGGAGGTGAGAAATGCCAGAAGGCTACTTTAGCTGCTTTGCTATTCATAACAGGTATATGTTACCATGAACCAGAGGAGCCTGAAAGTTAATTTTTGGCTTTGATATGTAACCACATGTATATGCCAAGGGAAGTGCCACTTTCTTGTGACAGAAACATATTTTACTGGCTCCTGAAGAATGCAAACTGGAGGCTTTATCTTTTCATCAGCAATCATTTTAGCAGTCTCAGAGGCAAGACTGCCATTTTGGGATTGCCATAGTCTTTTGAGTAATTGGGATTCCCTTTTGACCTGACAGCTAGTAGACTTTTCATTGCATGCATATAATAGCATGTTCAAGGACCAAAGTATTTTACTCAAACTTTGTTACATTGTAGAATTTCTTATTTCCCATTGGAAGAGAAACAGTTGTCTTGAGGCTAGAGCAAGGTTTCTCAACATAATCAATATTGATTTGGGGGATCAGGTGGCTTTATTTGGAAGTTGCCTTGAATGTCAAATGGTATTTGGTGGAACTCCTAGAGTTTCATCACTGGGATATTAATTTAGGCCTGGGACATTTATTACTGTAATCCCATCCTCAACTCACAATCATTTAAGAATTGTTAGTATATGCCTACTATAGAAAAAATACTGTTCTCCACTGAGACTTTTAATTAAGACTATGCAACATTTGTGGGGTTTTTTTTGGTTTTTCGCGACAAGGCTTCTCTGAGGCTTTGGAGGCTGTCCTGGACCTCACTCTGTAGACCAGGCTGGCCTCGAACTCACAGAGATCCGCCTGCCTCGGCCTCCCGAGGGCTGGGATTAAAGGAGTGCGCCACCAACGCCCGGCTCGCAACATTTGTGTTTTCTTTTGAAGATGCTATGTTTATGAATTCTCAGAAGAAGAAATATACAGTTCAGCTAACATATTAAAAGTAATATGTAATTTTATACATTGGGGAAGTACACATCAAAATTATACAAAAATGCCACTTCATGCTGTGTGTACTGGCTACCACACAAATATACCATTTCCTATGTTCATATCGAATAGTTCTGTCTGAGAAATTTCTACTGAAAAGATATTCTTTCTTATAGAAACTTTAACAAATTTGCTAATGCTAGAGTCTTCATCTAGTAGTTGATAGAAACAGAAACATATACCCACAGCTAAACACTGAGCTATACTCTTCAAATCCAGTTGCAAAAGGGGGAAGTGATGAGCAAAGGGGGCAGACCAGGCTGCAAAAACCCACAAAAACAGTTGACCTGAACAATGGGGAGCTCATGGAACCCAGACTGATAGATGGGAAACCAGGATAGTACTGTTCCAGACCCCTGATTGTATGTGTCAGTTAGGAGGCCTGGGCAATCTATGGGGCCTCTGGCAGTGGATCAGTATTTATCCCTACTATACAAATGGAGTTTGGCAGCCCATTCAACATAGAGGAAATCTCTCCCAGCCTAGACACACAGGGGAGGGCTTAGGCCCTGTTCCAAATGATATGATAGACTTTGAAGATCCCATATGGAAGACCTCACCCTCCCAGGGGAGCAGAAAGGGGATTGTATTAGGGGTTGTTGGGGGCAGAAGAGTAGGGGGGAGAGGGAACTTGGATTGACATGTAAAACAAGCTTGTTTCTAATGTAAATAAAAAAAGAAAGAAAACACCTAAAATTTTTGCTGATTGGAAACTCATTGAATTCTTGGCATCTCATTGTGTTCAGTTCAACCTATATCTCATTCACATTTGTGGTAAGACTTTCAGAGGTCTTATGCCATTCATCATCAAAATTTATAAAAGATTTAAATAAGTAAATCTTGAGGTCACTTAATTTCAATCCATCAATCAACAATGTTGAGGTCTTATTTCTTCTTGTCTGTTGACAACTAGGTTAACTGAAATCCGTGCTTTGGTTTTAGTCCTTGTGATATGTATGTATCCAAAAATTTAGATTCAGAATGTGGATTTTCTATTTGTCTCTGGTTGGATTCGAAAATTATGTCTTGTAATATTCCACAGAAATGGAAAATGCTCATTTCATGGGCATTGATTTCATTTAGTAAACTTAACACTTGCCACACTATGGACATCTCAACTGATTGAATTACTCTAATTTTTTAGATATTATAGAAGTCCAATGCGCTATCCATTGCGTGACAGAGCCTAATTTTTTAGATAATATATACAGAGTTCATGTTTATAGAGTTTTTCTCAATCTGTAAAATCTATATTTTTAAAATTTATTTTAAAAGAGTCAATAAATTTATAAAAATAAAGGGAATCAGTAGAAACCACAAACATTTTTACCATTTTCACGGAATTATATACCATTGTGATAGGTATTCCAAAAAATTCTTACAGCTTTCAATATATTGATTCACATGACCAAATAATTGTACTGCAGTTAATATTTACTGCTAGTGTTTAGCTAAAATACATTATTGTCATTTTCATTAATATATAACGTTCCTTCCTTGTTATGGTCTTAAATATGCAGGATTCTTTTAAGTTATGAATATTTTAGATACTGGCAAAATGAAACAATTTGTGAAGGTTTGAAATAATTTGAATAAATCTTAACACGAAAAGAATTTTGAATTTAGATGAATTCCTTTTTAGTCTCAATGATTAGATTAAACATACATTTAAATTCAGGTAAAGGCATGCAAAACCACCCAACTATTTCAGTAGATTCTTCCTTGGATGTATATGAGTCTGTGTATAAGAACAAAGTTTTAGGCACTGCAGTTCCCATGCAGTTGGGAGCCAACCCACCAAGAGACTACCAGCATCCTAGCCCCTTTCTCTGCCCACGGGACTAGGAAGCCTGGACCTGTTTCCGGGCCACCATCCAGTGAACTGCCCAGAAGCACCTGAGACCTGGGGACTGCACACTGTAGATCCCATCCAGATGGGATCCAGCCTAAATAGAGACTGCCAGTGTCCTTGTCCCTTTTTCTACCCGTGGGACAGGAGATGTAAACATGGGCCTGTTTCCGGCCCTCATTCCAGTAGCCTGTGCAGAACAAGGTACACCCCACTCTGAGATTGCCAAGGCCCCGGTATTAGGAATAGCGCAATCCACAAGAAAAGGAGAGCCACCAGATTATTGGACCTGCTTGCACTCAGCGGAAGGGCATCCTGGTCCCGTACACACAAAGAGAGGAAGAGACTCTGCACCCACTGCAGGAAGGGATGGGAAGGAGACAATATAAAAACATAATGAGCAACAGAAAAACCAACATGAAACCTCCAGAGTCTAGACACCCAACACCAGTAAGACTTGAACATCCCAATGCAGATGAAGCAGAAGAGAATGACTTTAAAAACAACTTCATGAAAATGATAGAGGCAGTCAAAGAGGAGATGAGAAAATCCATTAAAAACGGAAGAAAAAGCAGACTAAAAATTTCAAGAAATGTAGGAAAAGACGAAGCAAAAATTGCAAGAAACAATTCAA